TCGCAAATCCTCTTGCCGTCAGATGTATAATCAAAACGTGTAGAGTGTACTAAGTTCTATGCTTAGGGTTATGAAAAATATTTTTTTATAAAACCATTGGAATTTTGTTGAACTATAAGCATAGTAATGAAATACCATTCTAATTATTTATGAAGATTATCAAGGTAGGAATGGAACTCAAGATGTTACGTTATGATACCCCGCCGCCCTAACCACCTAGGCCTGAAGGCGGGAGTACATTCATGAACAATACACCTTTAACAATGTCATTCCATATATGATAATTAAAAGTAATTACAATTTCTTTTGTTATAACTAAAAATCTTTAGGATTTTATTGTGCGGAATATTACACAAAAATAACATTAGAGAGAGAATCCACATCAACCAAACCTTATGTGCGACGCAGGAGAGAGAGAGAGACAGAGGGAACCCACACCCATAAAACCTCGAGTCATGAATGAGGAACAACCAAGTAAACTAAAGTTTTGGGTTGGGTAGGGAGAGATAAGTATATGAAATTAGTTATTCAAATTTCACTGATTTGGAAGGGAAATTGCTGATTTTTATTGGGAATCGGTAAGAACCAACCTGTTCGTTGTTGGAACTAAAAATCGGTCAGATTTGATGGACATGCATAGTTTTGTCAAAGAACCAGGCAAATCTGTTAGAGAATTAGTTAACATGGATTTCTTAAATAGCCTAGTTCCCATTCATTTCATTTTTTTATAGTATTTATACCTTTTTATTTTTTCAAATGTAAAGTTATAACCTATTTATTTTTTGGCACCAATTCTCACACCGGAGAAGGAACTATATATTGACCTTTTTATAAGGAGGTCACAATTACTTATAACCATCCAATGTGAAATCTGAGGGTTTGGATGTATCACAAAGTTCGATTTTTTTTTTTGGGAACTTTAAGCTTAAGCCACCATGTGTCCTACAACCCTTCTTTGCTCAGCCAAGGATAATTGGTTGAGGCATGGCTGCAACAGTGGCTGTCCTAAAAGACCCCATGACCTGTATGAGCCCCAGGGTAGGAGGGTGGGTTTACAAGGCACAAGGCCACGGCCTCTATGAGACCTAGGAGAGGAGGGTGGTTTTATATACTTGCAATCATGAGTATGACCTGAACTCAAGTTTCGGGCTCGTGACCACTTCCTACCGCCTGGTAAGTGAGGAGAACAGGAGCCATCGGTAACTACTTTCAAAGCACCCATAAGTCAATATTTTAAAACTGCAGGAGACGGGGTTGAGGCCGAGGCCATTAACTAAGAAGGAGAAGCAATCGGCAGGTGCTAGAATGAAGATGAACATGAACTCGAAAGTCACCAGGTTGCTGACGAAAAACGATCGAGAATGGTATCAATGGGATAGAGAGAGAGATTGGGGTGGAGGAGTGATGGAGAAGATCTTAGAGCGCCCGAGGAAGAGAGGGAAAACTTGAGAGAGAGGGGAAGGCGGGAGAGGAGAGGATTTCATTCCATGATTTAGAGACGGCTTTGAAGCTCACAATGGATTAACAGGAAGCAAAATCAGTTATATTGTGAATGTAAATTTTTCCATTTTGCAATATCCGCCTGAAACCATCACACTCAGGATATTATTGTGAATGTAATTAATGCAATTAGGCTATATTTAGTACTTGTGATCTTATGAACATGACCCATTTTTAGGAGGTAGAGTTATTTAAAAGGGAATTATTGAAAATGGCAATTGGTAGATCTAAAAGGACGCGGTTAAAAGGTGCTCGAAAATATATGGGGACTCATGACCACATTGGGAGTATGATCTTAAATAGAGTAGAACGACGGACCGTGTAACCGACCCCAATTATTTATAAGGGTATGGCTTAAAATAGAGCAGAATGATGGACCATGTAGCCAACCCCAAATAATTGGAAAAAAACTATGATCATGATGATTAGTTGTGAAATAATAATAAAAAAAAAAGTTAATATAAATTGTCAACTTCATACTATAGAAGTAAGAGGCATCTCAAAAACCCATTGAAAAATATTGCTTTAATATTGGAAAACCCTCTAATAGATCAATTCATCATGGAGATGTATATGTATTAAAAAAAGGAAAAAAATAAAGATTTCAAGTTCTAAAAATAATGTACTTTCTAGCAGGTCGTTTTCAAGATTTTGAAATTTTATAGAAATACTCGAGCTGCACCATTTATAGAAATTTCAAATTTCATAATTAGGTTCAAAGTAAATTTTGAGGCCACCCTAGAAATTTCATACCCCAAATTGACATATTATAATAAAGTTTGAAGGAGCGCCTTACTCTAATTATTCACGGTTAACGACTTATGTAACTTTTTTTGCTTGTAAAGACAATGTATTGTTTTTAAATATTTGAAAATTTCCAATAAAAAAATTAATCATAAATATTTTTTAGAGAGCATGTTTACTTTAAGTTTTTAAATATTGGAATGAAAATGTCTAATATTTGAGAAATATAGGAATTGGCTGCAAGTATTTTTAAGTGAATAAAAATAACATAAATATAATTTAATTTAAATAATGATAAAAAAGGAAGAAAAGTTCATTTCTACTATTTGAAGAAAAGTTTGCCTTAATTTTAAGAAGTATTTTAAAATTATTAAAAAAATAAAATAGTGGCCATAAGGTATTTCAAAAGCAAGAAAGTTGCACTGAAAAAATACCTGGAAATTTTTTATTTCTATATTCTTTAAAGATCACAATCATCAATGAATTTGGAAATAATAACAATTTTTAAAAAATATAAAAGATTTTAAAATTATTTTTCTATTTCAAAACAATTGAAAATTAAAGCTTTATGATATAAGGAAAGGGAAAAAGAGGGCCACACCTTTTATAATGAAATATAACAATTAAATATTGTATTAATAGCTCAATACTATTAAGCCAGTAAAATCTTAATTTAAGCCACATTAAAAATCTATTCTTTTGTAGAAACCCTAGACCAATTGCTCATATTATCAAATATAACAATCAGCAAAATAAAACAATTGATGAGTGGCTTTATCAACAATGTTATTGAATATATTGCAAATTATGAAAAAATAAATATATATATATA